CCTCCGAGCCCAAAAAGCCCATTTCTGAAGCCCACATTTGGAGAAACCCTAAGTGACGTCCAGAGAGGTCTTGAGCATTATAAATACATGTCTTAGGAACCCTAAACGATGTGTAACCTCATATCATCTATCATTACTTCATACTTTTATTGTTTTTGCTTTAGCTTTTAGGGAGAGAGAGATTTGTTCTTTTGAACCCTTGTTCTTTCTTTTTCAATTTCGTTTCTATTCTACTTATTAATACTATGTTTTTGATTTCGTTTATTATGTCCGAGTAGTTTTATTGTTGGGATTAAGGGATTTTTGATGGGGATTTATATGTTCGATGAAGATTCCATGAGCTTTTGAGCCGAATCTTAGAACTTTTTCTTCTGAATTTTGTTTTACTGCATGAGAGTAGTGTCATGAACTACAATCTGATCCAGATGCTTGGTGACACGAAAGTGTTCATCAGGTATCAGATCTAGTTTGGGAGAGCAAAACAAACATAGGAGTGGAAACCTACCTATGGGCGATTTGTGAATTAGGACGAGTCTTAAACATAATGCATCTCTTCTCTTCCAGGGCCAGAGTAGAAACCTACTGGTCAGGGTTGAGAGAGATAGTTGTCTATGATCACGACAGTGGCGTATTCATACGTCCGTGACTCCAGTTCGAAAAGTTTAAGCTAAGATCTTATCAATTTACTCTCTAGCAATGTTTTGAATCGTTCGTACCCCTGAGAAAACTTCCCTGAACCCCAACGCCTTCTTTCCCATTGATTTACACCGATTTTCTTTCAAGCTTTAGTTCAATATTGTCTTTCCTTTTTAGTAGATTTTCATTTAAGCAATTAGATATCCGTTTTTTACATTTTTAGTCATTTTCGTTAAGTTTAGTTATTACGTCATTTAATTTCCGTATTCTCTTTTAAGATTTCGTTTTTGCATTTCAAACACACTACCAAACCCCCACAAAACCGTTTTGGTTCTAGACTTCCTTACTTTATACTTATTTCAAAGGCTTTTTGCAGGAAACGATCCTCCTTCCTTGTGGATTCGATCCCTAAGTACTACAATCGATCAGCTGTGCACTTGCGGCTATTGATTTCATTTAGGGTAAAACTTGATAACCCTCACGACACACCAGTCACCATCACTTTACATACTCTATTTCGATGCTAGGTTGTGGTAGATGTAGTTCGATGGTTATGGTCTAGAGGTATGGTCTTTGAGATCTTGAGTTCCCTATGATTTCTGTTAAAAGCTTTTTCCAACCTTGGATCTTGTTTTGTTTGAGGACAAACAAAGGTTCAAGTCTGAAGGAGTTGATAACACTGTATTTTTATCCATTTTCATTAAAGATTTCTTATGCTATTTCAAGGGTTTTAATTAGTTTTAAGTGTTTTTATTATGGTTTTTCTATATTTGTAGTTTCAAGACTCTTTTCAGGGAAAAACATTGCAAAATAGAGAAAACCCACATTTTTAGCTTAGCGTCAAACCGTCAGAATTTCAGTGTTGAATGAAGATTTTCTCACCGTCTGATCCAGCTTAAATTTGGAGACATTCAAAATGATCTGGCTGGCTTTCAATTGCACTTTACTTGATGAAAACCAACAATTCAATCAAAAGTTATATGAAGACCAAGATGTCCCCTCAACCATCCCGACATTTAGCTGACCTGAGGCAAACACAAGTCTGGTCGCACCTCACAGCCTGCACCCACGGTGGAACTCTATTTTACCGGTCCGAGAGAGCTTTCACCTGCTGTAAGCCCTATCTCAGCCCAATTTGAAATTCTCTTCAAAGAAATCCCTAAGGACGACTAGAAGACTTGAAGACCTATAAATACATGTCTGAGAAACTCTACTTCAGTATGTGCTCCTGTAATGAGTTTTTGAGCCACCAAACTTTTCTTTTCTTAGTTCTTAGGTTAGAGAGACAGAGATTCTTCTCTTGAACCCATATCACCCTTGTTTTATCTATCTATTGAATTTATGCATTCATCTATCATAATTTTTTTTTGTCTTTAATCATGTTAGAGTAATTTAGTAGTTGGATCCAAAAGATCCATCGAAGGGGATCTAATGTTCGATTAGGATTGTTGCTTTCTTTCCCAAATTCTATATCTCATCTTTTCTATTTTTAATGTATGAGGTTAGCATCATGAACTAATTTCTGATCCTAGGTTTAATCAGAGCCACAACAGTGATATATCAGATTGTTATACATAGCTTCAGAAGAACATATATGTTTAGGAGACAAAAACTACTTATAGAGAAGATGTGCGCAAGAATGAATTCAGTTTAGTTAACACATAATATTTTTCGCGGCCAAAGACGAAAACTACTGGTCGAAGTGATTAGTTGGTTTGGACATACGACAGTAGACTAATCATATCAGTGTCTATTCTAATTCCATGTAGATATCTAGAAACCGATTTTACAGCTTTAAACCCTAGCATGAATCGAACATCACCTGAGATATCTTTGCCAACCTAACTTTTCTTTTTTTTCTTAGCCCATATTGATTAGGTTTAGTTGTTTTTCTGTTTATATTTTATTTTTACTTTTCTGTGACACAAAAAATCCTATAAAAACAACTTTGGTATTTTAATCCGTTTAATAATTTCAGTTTGAAGTTTTTGCAGAAAGTATACCTTTCTATGGATTGGTTCTCTAAGTGTGCACTTACAGAAACTAAAGTTTATAATTTAAGACTTATCTGCGACCTCCAACCCTAGCAGCATCACACCACACATATCTGAACTGTTTCTGCCTCCTCTTTCGTCCCATAAGACCATCCCCCTCCAACACCGTTTTGAAAGCGAAAGTCTCCTAGTGCATAGCTTGGTTGAACTTCGCTTGGTGGTGCACTAATTGGCCTAACGGTCAACTCACATCCTCCATCCATCCGGTGATGACTTTGATCCCTGTCTTGGCCATGGTTCTCTTGATGAGGTAGTCAATTTCTGGTGGCCAAGTGAAACCACAATTTCCTTCTGGTAAGTCTTTGTCGTTCTTCCCCGGTGTGAAATTAATCTCATCACCACATGTTGGAAATCAATTGTCTTTGTGATTTTATTTGTTCTCTTTGTGATTTTTTTTTTACTTCCAATATTTCAAGATTCACCATCTTCTTGACTTTTTAGATTTTGGTTTTGGGTGGGCTTTTTTCATTTTGTCTTGGGTAGGTTGTCCTATCTATAATACATTACGTCGTATTAGTGTCAAGACTTTTTAGCATTATTGTTGTTACTGATTTCTCTCTTCCCGTCAAAATCAAGGTTTTGAATTTAGAATCTGAACAAGTGATTAGAAGATACAATAGTATCTTGAATACGTTTATGTACTAGACCCCAAAAAATGTTATGCCTCCAAAAACTTGAATAAGTTTTCACACCCAAAACCTTGCGGATGTGCCTTGGATTAGAAATTGATAAGATCTCAAGGTATATATATATATATATATATATAATTTCATGGCACCAATTTTGTTCTCATCTTGTTTTTTACATCATTCGATACAATTAGAATTTATTTACAAATTTGTAAATAAATTTAGAGTTATACAGAAAAATAATGGATAAGAATTAAAGATAGTATTACTTTTTAAAAACAAAGAAGAGGTAATCTAGATTTTTACCACCCGATTAATCTCCTTGGATGAGTGATACCGTCAAATAGCTCATTCATCGGGTTTCAAAAGGGTTAAAGCATGGCACTATTTTCCACTGGTCAAATGAGAGTGGTTATATAATTTGTCACTTCCATGGAATCAACCCATGACCTAGCTCAACTCCTCCACAAATGGAAACATTCTGATCTTTCTCATAAACTCATTTTGGGCAAAAGATTATGCATATTTATTGCCTTTCTCGTTTCTGAAACCTAAAACACACTACCCATCAAACCTTATTTTCCACGAAAAGCTCGTTTTGATATATTAACTTTAAATTTACGATTTTCATTCATAACACTTCGAATAACCATCTCACAATCGCCTTCCAAAATTACATTCGGGTACATCCAAGACTCCAAACACATTGCATTGTCTAAATCAATCCACTGCATTTGGTTTCTTCCATTGTCGAACTAGAATATAATTAGAATGTTGATTTGCCACAAAGATATACTATTGTTATTACCAAAATATTAAAAGGGAAATGGAACGGGCACGTGATAATCATGACGGTAAGTGGAATTTTGGTCCATAATCTGGTAATCCCTAATAAAAATTAATTTATCTTGAAATCATGTCATATTGTCATAGAGTTTATGTTTGTTAAGGAAGAGTGCCAGAGTTTGAACGTCGTTCATTCCTCTAGACTTATCGAAAACAACGCGTTGTTATTGTTGGGGTCGGTGAAGAGTCACCAAATCCATCCAACAGCTCAGATTTCATCTTGGCTTCTTTCTAAAATACACTGATACACATGTCGCATTAATACTACGCTCGCAAGTAGAAGGTTCCTTATTCTTTATTTTCTCTCCTGTGCCCCATTTTATGTGTGTTATCAATTTTATCCTTATTTGGTTACCAAAACCAAAAATAAAAAAAACCAGAAGCTAAGGCTCTAAATGCTAATTTTATTTTGAGTTTATGTTTTGTGCTAATTATTTTTGTTATTGAAAGACATGCTAAATTTAATATGAGTATTTACAAAAAAAAAGAACACAATTATTTAGAGAGAGAAAACTATGGTAACTTGAAAAATATTTTACAAATATTAATACAATCAAAAAGACTTGACCCAAAAAAGCAGTGAAAAGGAAAGTTACGAGGAAGAAGTTACAAAAATATTTCATTCATTTGGTCCGACGTACAATTTAGCAAGAAATTGTTGTACAACACATTGTCTAAAACAAACAAAACGACGATGTTTGAATTGTAAATATTAAAAAATAATTAGGAATCTCAAAATCTAAAATGAAGCTGTGGAATTTCCAAGAAGATACAGAGGTTTCCACTTAACCCTCCACTCTATAAACCCACTTTAGTCTTTCGTTTCCCTATAATCAAACTTCATTACTAATCTCTCTTAAAAGGCTTTTACTTCCTACAACAAAATAGTCTCACAACTACGAAAACAATGGCTTCCAAATCCGTAGTCGTTTTCCTCTTCCTCACTCTCGTGGCCTCCTCCGCCGTTGCTCAAGCTCAAGGACCAGCTCCGACTACTTCTCCCCTTCCCGCCTCTCCTCCACTGGTCCAATCTCCAAGAGCCGCCGTATCAGCACCTTCACCCTCAACCATTCCGCCTCCCCCAGCTCCTACCACCGCTCCGATTAGTCAACCACCGACTGATTCTCCCACCACCTCCACCTCTCCACCAGCTCCTCTGACGTCTCTCTCCCCTGCCGGAGCTCCCAGTACAAATGTTCCCTCTGGACCTGCTCAGTCTATTTCTCCCATTCCTGACTCTCCCAACTCCGCTTCAGTGAACAGAATCGCCGTCGCTGGAAGCTTCGTCGGACTCGCCGTTGTCGCTGCTTCGCTCATGTAGAGTGCTATAGATCCATCTGATAGATTCAGTAGGAGTTTTTTTGGGTTCATTGTTTGTCCATTTTCTATATTTAGTTTATTATGTTATTTTGGAATTGAGAGTTGTATGGACGGTGGAGTTTTTGTATGAGTTTTATAGTTTTTTTTTAGATTCCAAGATTCGATTTTTGTTTTGTCCAAGGTTTGTTGGATGCTTATTATCATTATTGTTTGTTTTCTGAACAAGATTATTATCATTATTGTTGTTCTTATTTTACTACAAATTGTATTATTTTCTTTATTATTGTAGATGATCGAATAAGACATGATTTTTTTAATAATATTGATCTATTATTACAAGAGAACTATTACATCAATAACTTTATAAAAGAGAATTTACAAAACATGGTTATTTACCTGGTATAAGTATTTAAAAGCGTAATTGGTGGGTTATCGATTTGTTGGTATCAAAAGTGGTTAATGAATAGATTAGGAAATGGGAAGGTGTAGGTTATCGATTTGTTGGTACCACGGGAGATTGAAAAATGATCTCGTATGCCACCAACGAAATTTAAATTTTTAATTCATTTTCTTTTAAGTGTAGAAAGTGTGGAAATTCATTATTATCCCTCAAATTTTAAAAGATTTACAATAAAACCATATATTTACCTATCCGACTCGACGAAAAGGAATTTTACTCGGGTTGAGTCCCGATTTATTCAGAAGTAAAAACTTAAAAACTCATTTCCGCAAATTCTCCAAATTCTCCACCATTTTTCGCCGAAATCGAAGTTTTCGCCGGAGTCGAAGTTTTTGCCGGAAGCACATAGTTTGGTGTGGGTAGCCGTAATGGCGAATGTAAAAAAAGGGAAAGGTGGAGTCGTTTACGAATCGACGGAAACATCCACTAGAGAAAACTTCTCCGAAGCCACCGTTGTAGAAAAGGAAGGAACAACTCCGCCTCCGGAAGTGATGGTGACCGACGCAGGGGGTATTGTTATGGGCGCCGAGGCAGATCGAGATGGAGATGTCTCGCATGCATTGGTGGAAGATGGAGAGTCATTTTCCGAGGGGGCCGGTTCCGAGGAATCAGACGGGGAAGGAGATGAAGAAGGAGAGAGAAAAGAAGAGGAAGAAACAGAAGAAGCCAATGATGAAGAAGATGAAGAAGATGAAAAACAAGAAGAGGAAGCAGATGATGAAGAAGAGGAGCCAACGATGAAGGAGATGAGGAGGAGGTAGAGGAAAAAGACGAGGAGGAAGCAGATGATGAAGAAGAGGAGGAAGCAGTGGAAGATGAAGAGGAGGAAGCAGATGATGAAGGACAGGAAGCGACAGATGGGATTGCGGCAGAAGAGGTAGGTGAGGACATAAACGATGGGGAAGAAGATGACCAGGTATGTACTGTATTCATGTACTCTTTGGTGTGAATTGACATCCAATCTTGTTTGATTGATCCTGTAGTTTAGTATTTAGGACAACCGGAACAACATGAACAATAAAACTGTAAATTTGATCAATTAATATTTAGGACAACAGGGACAACTAATGGTAAATGTATTCGAATTGTAGGATCCCATTTCCTCTAGCTTGCCGATGCGACCTGAGAAGCTTTTCTTTAACCCAACCGAGTTTGGCAAAGCTTTCAAGATAGTTACTAGGTGTTCTGTAACGAGTGTTGTTCAGAAGATAGAGGCAATGCCAGAAGAGGCAAAATGGTTTAAAACACACCCTCAATTCAGACACATATTTCATATGCCCAAGGAGCCGAATCACATGAGTCAAGGTCTGTGGATGCTCCTCCTCCATACTGCTAAAACCGGGAAGGAAAGTGAGTGCTGGTTTGTTGTAAACGGTGTTCCCATCCGTTACTCATTGAGAGAGCATGCGCTCCTCTGTGGGTTAGACTGCCATGAGTACCCTAGAAAGTATAAGGATTTAGGGGGTTGGAGCTTTGTTGAGAAACATTTTGGAAGGAAGAAGGCAATAACAGTGAAGGATGTGGAAGAGAGGCTTGAGGCAATGGAGACCTCAGAAGATAAGAAAAAGATGGCAGTACTCTTTTTCTTAAGCAAAGTTGTCAAAGCCAACTCTAAGGCTAATGGTAACATAGAGTCCTTCTTGCTTCGAGTTGTGAATGATCTAAGGCTGTGTAAGAAATTTCCTTGGGGGCGCTACACGTTTGATAATTGCATCAAGGAGATACAGCGTGTGATGAGGAAGCTTAGAGGGAGCGTGAAAGCGAAAGGACAATCATGCAGCTTTGCGGGTTTCATAGTTCCTTTAGAGGTATGTGTTATTAATGAGTTTTCAGGTATTTGGTATTGTGACATTGAATTTTTGATACTGTGATTTTCTATGTAGATTATGGCGTTCGAATATATTCCTGAGCTTCGACGGAGATGCCGACAAGTTGTGCCTGCAAATGGAGACTGTCCACGCATGTGCAAGGGGAAGTTTTCTGAGATATGCATGAGAGGGTTTCCTTTGGAGGACATTAATGAGGCGATGGGCAATAGTAGCGAGGTAAGTGTTAGTAGTATAATTTGATGAACAATATTATTAGATTGAGCTAGGTTGAAAGTAGTAACTAGGGTTTGGTTATTTATGACAGGAAATTATTAGCATTTTGGAACCTGACTCTGAGGAGGAAGCGCTTATAAATCGCATATTGGAACATGGATACGACGAAGGGATAGGGTTTGTTGATCCATTTGTTGAGTCTTGGACTGAGTACCTCACCGTCAAGAAGAAGAAAATATGTTGGAAACAATTGTATGACTTGGAGGTTGGTTGTCGAGGTCAGGAACCGGAACATGAACCGGAGCCAAAAGCGTATAAGGGTAGAGCAGAAGTGGATTTGGAGAAGAGGACGTTAGAGGATATGGAGGAGAGGCTGAAAGCTGTTGAGAAATACTTGAAAGAGAAGATGGAGTTCACTGGAACAGAAGCGAGGATACCACCATCTGCAGTAGGAGTTCGTTCACCCACACTAGTTCCTACACCTCCACCAGAGTCAGCAGCCATCTCAGCACCATCAGCTGTAGGAGTTCCTTCACTCACAGGAGTTCCTACACCTCCACGAGAATCAGCAGCCATCTCACCAACACCAGCGCTGTCAGCAGCCATCTCACCAACACCAGCATCGTCGACAGCCCCACCCTCACCACCACCACAAAGACCGAAGAGGCAAGGTGCACCATCCCAGTGGAAGAAACCTCCATTTACAGAAGCAAGAAGACGGAGAAAAGGTGAGAATTCAAAGGTTACCGTGGAAGAAGGGAAAAAAGCAGAAGAGACGAACCAGGTCGAAACACGGGCTTCGAAGCAAACTAGAAACAAAAAGAAGAAGGCTGCCGGTGAAGAAGTTAAGAACCAGGTGGTGACAAGGGCCTCGAAAAGACAAAAGGTTTAGTTTAGAACTTGCTTGGTAAAGACAAGTTCCATGGTTGGTACTTTTTTGAAACATCTATTTATCGCTTGGTACTTGTCTGAATGTTTAGGGGTATTTTTTTTGGATTTGGATCTTGTGCCTGAATGGAACTTGTGAAAGTACTGTTTTTGTGACTTTTAGTCTTGTTTTTCTGCAAACAAAGCTTGAATGGTTTGGTTTGTAGTTGCATCAACCGTTTTAAAATTGTAACTTCGGGGACAACATGGTTCAACTAAGACGAAGTGTTTACTAAATAAGAAAGATGGAACAACTAGGTTCAAATGAAAGATGAAAGAGTCTTACATAGAGGAATATAAGATAACTAGGACAACAAACAAGAAGATGGGACAAATAGGACAACAAAGTTCAGGATAAAAGGTAGGACAACTAGGACAACAAAGTTCAGGATAAAAGGTTGGACAACTAGGACAACCAAATATAACAGGACAAAGCTTCAAGCCTCCTTGTTCTTCAAGGCCTCCTGTTGAGCCTCAATCTTCGATTCCAGCTGGTTTAGCTTTGAGACAATCACATCAAACACAGACTTTATGTCCTCTTGAGTTTCTTTTAGCAAACCAATCTCCTCTTCTATAGCGACATCCCACCACTTCTTGAAGCCACAACTTGGAACCTGAAAGACAGAAAAGCATCGGCTTTGTGCTTGTAATGGTTTAGCAAAATTATAAAGCAGATCGACATCTTACTTCCGGGAAGTTTTTTGGTCCACAGCAACCGTAAAAGCAGCTGTAGTACTTCCGGCCTTGGTCTAGCGCAGAGTAGTCAGTTAGGTTCGGCCACGGAGCAATACGAAGAGGACCGCAGTAGCAAAATTGAGGAATTCCGACTTGCTTAGGACATTCAACAATGGTTCGGACTCCTTTGACTTCCGGACCCCATCTTGTTGTCATACCATGATCCTTCTTCGCAAGCTTCGCAAGTGCCTTCTCCATCTCTGCAATTCACAATTAGAATCATAAACCATAATTTCTAAGAAAATCCCCAAATTTTCAATTATTATCGTAAACCCTAATTTGAATCCCGAAAAATGAAATGCCAAATCAAGAATTAAAATCGCATATCGGATTACCTTTGTCTTCCAATCGCGAAGAGCCTGGGCTTCCCATCTTTTCCTTATTTTTTTTTTCTCGGTTCGTCACCAATTTGCTCTGGGTTTTCTGCGGTTTTCTCTCTTCTGCTTGCTTGTGTTAAGTCTCGGAAATGGGAAAATGTGGATGTAGCTAATATAAAAAATTGTGTGTGGGAAATTGGTGAAATTTAAATTCACTTAAAAAATTTGGTGGGGAATTTAAAATTTAAAAATTTTGAAAATTTTGCTTTGTGTAAGAAACATTTGCGTCGTCGATCTTGGATATGAAACACGTGCGCCGTCAATCGATGATATAGTTGTCCAAAAGTTGTTCCTAGTGTACTAATTTCCACATAGGTGTACTTTGACGAGTTTTTGGTTTTTGTTGTTGTACCATTGCATACCCTACTATTTTGTAGTTGTCCCCGACATGTTTGAGTATTAGTGGTCATTTACAAGGCGTAGATACTATTTTTTTTTGCATAATCATTTCCAAAGTTTTTATTCATGATGAGAAACTTACATTTACCAAACTCATCCTTAAACTAGATGATATTGTTTGATGAGAAAAAAGAAAATGTATAAGGGAATTTTTGTTTTTAGTTTGATTCGTTTTCTTTTACTTTATTATGAGTTTAGAGTTATAAGAAGTCTCCAACTGTTTCAAATTTAATGATATATATTATCAAATATTTAGGATATCAAATTTAATGATATTGCTAGTAGTTGAACCACAAGGACCCAGTTGTACCTTGCAAACACAAATAACAAAAGTTGTCTGTAGTCAACCTTGTTGTCCACATAAAAACACAAAGCAAACACTAACACGAAGCAAACACTAAACCCAAAGAACTCAACAGTTGTCCGTAGTCGATCTGGTTGTCCACATAAAAACAACACATTACAAAACTCCAATACAAATAACAATAGTTGTCCATAGTCGACCTGGTTGTCCAAATAAAAACACAAAGCATTACAAAACTCAAAAACTAAGTTGAAAGACCTTCTGCCTGGGGATGTTGAGAAGACCGGAAACAAGCCTCCAAGTCCAAGTGAGGGTCGGCCTTGTTCTTTGTCCTCCGGCAATGTTCTCCGGGCCCTGGTTTCCGCTTTTCTTGATTTCTACCCACTTTTTTCTTGACATCTAGTGGTAAGACGACCAACTCTTTGATGTTGTCAGGAACACTCCAGTCAGTATGATGAGGAACAGGATAAATTTTTCGATAGTATGCCAATGTCCACGTCTCAATCAAGTAATATTTTGAGCACAAGTCATATACTCCGATACTCGCTGATCTATCTTCCGTGCTCATCAGTTTCTTCGCTGCGGCTATTGCATGTTCACACGGGAACTTATCTATATCAAACCGCCTGCAGCAACAGCTTTTCGCTATCAAGTTCACCACGTAAGTTTTCCCGTCCAGTCCATTAACGCTGTATTCAAGCTCGTAGCTGTTTAGTTCTGTCACCACTAAAAGAGATGCGATTGCACATCGACTGTGTATTTCATTCTCCACAACAGGTCCCACTCTCTTATTATAAAAAGGACCAGCTGAATCCTTCCTGTATCTATTAAACCATTCAGAAACTTTGGCTACAATCGCATCGATCATATGCAATAAGGTGTACTTCCTCGCAGTCACTAAACAACTATTCATAGACTCTGTCAAGTTACTGGTCTCTATGTTGTACTTATCCCCCAAGAAGCAGCACCTAGCCCATTTTTCCAGCGTCACACTATTATCAAGATACTCAGCGGCTTTAGGAAACCTAACTCTAAAATCACCATACTCTCTAATGAACTCATATTGAGTATAGATATGTGCGCAATCCCGGAATTTCTGTGCAACAAAGTCTTTATTGATATTATTAAGTTTATTTTAAAAAATTGGGAAATATGCCAAATACAATATCCATGATGAGCACTCGGATACACCTCGGAGACTGCCTTGATGATGCTTTGATGTTAATCACTCATAAAGACTAACTTAGGATCATCTGGAACTACAGTTTTTAACTTTTCGAAAAACCACCGCCAGCTACGATTATTCTCGCCATCAATCACACCAAACGCAACCGGGTAATTGTGCCGATTAGGGTCTTGAGCTGTCGCAAACACTAACATACCACCATAGGAACCCGAGAGAAAAGTTGCGTCCACTACTAAGACTTTCCTCATTGCTCTAAAACCTTCAACACAAGCACCTAAAGCAATGAAGAAGTATTTGAAATTCTTCTCTGCAGTCAATTCCACACTTGTTACCGTTCCAAGATTTACCTTCTCCAACATGTGCAAATAAGGATACAACATACCATTGCTATCTTCTGGACTGCCTCGTACATAATTAAATGCGAGTTTCTTCCCCCTCAGGGCAGTGGAATAGGATACATTCATACCAATACGCCCTTGAACAACATTGATGATACTTTTAGCAACTGGGGTGTCGAGCCGACCTGGATAGACATCATGCAGAACCGATGCTACCATTTATGGTGTACCTTTCAATTTATTGCTGCTTGTACTCTGCGCAGCACGGGAACATCTGTGCATCTTTCTATACACCCTGACACTAAAACGGCTTGAATCCTTAACGCTCGCAGCTCGAAGATACCACTTACAACCTTGTTTCTTCTGACGGCATTCTAGCATAAGTCTGTTTTTATCCGACTTGATAGTATTGAACGAAAAACAGTATTTATGTGCAGCTCTCTCAATCATATATTGCACTGTCGCTTTAGAACTAAACTCTTGACCAACTACAAGACCCGCACCATCTTCCCATTCAGCAACTAACTGACTTTCTTCATCAGCACATGGTGGCTCATAATAGTGAGGCTCCTCCATGCGATCACCTCCTGATACGTCATCATTCAATGCCAAAATTTCGTCACTTGCGTTACCATCATCCCTAGATTCTTTATGCATTTTTTCATCAACATCATCCTCCATCGGCTCTTCAATTATTGGCTCATTGTGTTGCTTTTCTGGTCCCTCTGCTCTGTAGATAGTTAGGATCCCCGCATCAGCACTGATATTTGAACCAAGCTCCCCTTTGTTCAAACCAACTGAGCTACCTTGACCAGCTCTAGACAGTTGCGGAGACAGTTGCGGCTCCATTTGAGTTACTTCCACATCTTTCATTACTTCCACGTGCAAAACAGATCTAAATCCCTTTTCGTCCACTGTTGTTAGATACACATAAACATCCTCATCATCATAAATATATGAATGGCTCTGAGGGTTAAATACCAATGGAATGTAGCTCAGTTTCAGTTCCGCTGTTCTTTCATCTATTGCCATCTTCCTATCGTCTCTACTAAAATCGAGTAAGTAATCTCCTCCATTGCACGGTATTTCAAAGATATTGCAAACGTGGAACTTCCTCCAATCCATTTAAACACCTCTCCGACTTCTGTATACTTCCCTCCATAATCAAAGTGTATGTTCAATGCCGGACTCATTCTGCCCCACCCTTCCTGTGTATAGGAAACCAAAATACGCGTTTAATTATTACCCAATTTGTCACAGTTACTCTAACTCAGATCTGTACCATTGTGTACTAGTAGTTCTAAACCCTCATATTCGTACTTTTGTGTACCAATCGTCCACACATTATTAGTTGTACTAATTTATACCAATTGTCCTAAATCTGTAGATTTTTCCCCCATTTCGCTACATATTGCGACGTCTACTCTAGCTCAATTTGGACGTCTAATCAACAATCAATCTACCTAATCGACCCCATGTACATACCACAACATGCATTTCCCCAAATGAAAGATATACCATACCTAATCAGAGAATGAAGATGAGATAATTGGAGCCGACAGAGGGGAGGATCTCCGACGACGACGAGCTGCACGGGAGGAGATGTCTGCGCTTTCAAATGCAGCGTGTTACCCGCGGCGAAGAACGACGACCGCGGACAATAAAACGAAGAGTATCAAATTTTCGTTTTTGGCCACAAAATCGATTTTCCGAGCCCAGATTCCGGCATGCAACAATTTTTTTTGATTTTCAAAAAATATTGTTACAGAATCGATATTTATCCCCAATATTACGGGAGACACGGGGTAGGCAGTATGTGGATCCCTCTTATTAAGGTTACAATGGTATTTTCCCCAAATTAGTGGCATCAAATGGCAAGTTAAAATGTCACGCACACAAATAATGGCATGCGAGCCATTTCTCCTTCTAGAATGGAGCACTGTAACCCTTGTTATAAAAAAATAAAATAGGGTACTGTATCTATTTTTACTTATCTTGCAGGAAGAAACATTTTTGTGACAAAAAAAATACAATTTTTTCAATATATTGACCTTTTTGTACACTATTTTTTTGTAAAAAATCTTTTACTACAGAATAATTTTATTGATATCGAAATGAGATTACAAAATTATTATATAAATTTTAAATATTCTAAGTATGTTTTTGAAATATTTCAAATTTAAAATGCGGTTAGATGGCCAAAAAGACTCGAACCCAGGATTCTCCCATTTGAAAGTTACCACTGGACTAAAGCAACTTGATTTCAAAATAACTATTATTAATATTACATAGTAAAACCTTTATAAATTAATAATATTGAGACCATGAAATTTTATTAATTTATTGTAATATTAATTTATAGAGATAATCTGGCTTTCATCTATAATCATCTAAATTTTTTTCCAAATATTGTATTTAAAATTTAAGTGTATATCTTATTAAAAATTATGATTAATAAACATACTTATCATAACAAAATATTTTTAATAGCATATTAATTTGTTTATTAAAAATATACAGGTTTATAAATTCAAAAATTAAAAGAAACCATGGCTGTTATCAAAAAAATGAAATTGAAGACAATACTACGATATATTTGTAAATATTGACATGTAAAAAAATCAATCATCACATCATAAAATATTTACAAATTTGAATATATATATATAAACAATAAGAGATGGAAATGCAATAAATAGAAAGATGAACATCAATGAAATTTCAATTTTAAGTGAAAACAAATACATTAATCATATTTTAGTATAGTATATTACATATATTTGTATAAATTTATACAATTATTAATTTATATATTTTGTTGGGATCATATATTTATATAGAGATTTCAAAAGAATTATTATCTTATTATCTTATCAAATTTAATGAATTTTTACATTGATCCGACTTGATCCGATTTGGAACTGACAAAATTTATAATTTTATAATAATTATTAATTTATAAATATTTAATTTATAGAGGTTTTATTGTACATACATTTAAATTCTTGACTCTTTGTTAATATAAAAAACAAAATCGACTCTTCGTTTTCCTCTACACAATTGGCTACTTTTGAAATATCCTTTTAGGTCTATATAAAAATGCAAAATCATCTTTCTCTACCCCCCATATTACTTTGAAAAAGTGAAGATGTATCGTCCGCCGCTATACAAACTGGGAGGAGCACGCATCCAAACAACCGTAGTTTATAAAAGCAACAATGATCCTATCGACGATATTGTGCAGACATTCCTGTCCAACGCGGGGAACAAGAAGAAAATCATTGGTCTTAGGACAGAACGTGCGCAAAATGAAAGGAGAAAATATCAAACTGCCTTGCTCCAGCTCTGTGATGGAGACCATTGCCTAATCGTCCAAGTCCCCGAAGATAAAAATCTCCCTCACTCCCTCTTCAATTTCCTTAACCTGCCTGATTTCTCATTCGTTGGAATTGGAATCAACAAAACTCTCGCGAATCTGGAAAACGAGATTGGTTTGACCTGCAGTAATGCTGTTGAGGTCGGATCCTCGTCGTGGGATCTTTTGAACAAGACTGAGAAGAAATGTCGTATTGTCCGTAAATTTGTCTCAGTTACAAAACCAACAAGTGCCATTTCCCAGGACTGGAAATACTTATTTTTCCCAAATCAGATCGAGCTAGCAACAGCGAATTGCTTACTTTGCATTCAAAATTGGGAACATGCTCATGGCTATAAATTGATCGACTCAAGACGTCTGTTTGTTTTTTTTTCTTTCTTTGTTTGATAATTGTTTTGACAGACGTCTGTTTCTGTTTTCTTGTTTTTGTTTTTCCTTCTTTTGTTTTGGTTAAGGAGTGAATTTTATTTAAAACCCTTAAGCAGAACCTTACACGAGTGAATGATTGTTTCATTGTAGGCATAAACCAAGTGTGACATGTGTAAACACATTGCCGTTCCCCTTGCCATGAAATTTGACTGAAATTCCAAACTCACAATTGGAATTCTGCAGAATGGAAGGTAAAGGATTTAGAGTTCGAAGAAGAGGAGTGCACTTAAGGGGATGAGCCATGGTTAACGAGAATACTCCGCTAGCCTCTTCCATGTTAACTTTATCTCCATTGATTTTCCAATCAAAACACTGCGCCATTACTCCAATCGCTGTTTCTATATAGAGGTGAGCTAGATTTGATCCAGGACAGCCTTTCCTTCCGCTCCCGAACGGAATGTATTTTAGGACCTCCTCTCTTATCTCGTCTTCTTGACTTGATCTTGAAGAAACTAAAAACCTCTCAGGCTTAAACTCCTCAGGGTTTTTCCCAGTTTTGGATCTCTCATTATTAGCATAGACATTAACAACAAGTGTTGTTTTCTCCAGAACATTAAAGCCTCCGATCTTACACCCTTTTTGGAAGGTCCTTGGCACAAGAGGTCCTGGTGGGTGCAATCTCAGTCCTTCCTTGACGACAGCTTGCAAATAAGGAAGGTTTGGTAGATCCGTTTCTTGAATCAACCTTGTTGTCCCTACAATCGAATCAATTTCTTCTCTCATTCTCTTAAGAATGTTTGGGTTGTTGATAATCTCTGCCATGGTCCACTGTATAGTGTGCGTTGAGGTGTCAGTGCCTCCAAGGAGAAGATCCTGTAGAAGCAAAAGTTTCTTAGTCAAGACAAGTAATGGCACTTGAGTAGGTTCTCGATCAACTAATCCACTTAAATAAAGAAAGATTTACCACGAACAAGGCCTTGATATGGTGCCTAGTGATCTTATACTATGCTTCTTTATCTTTACAAGCTGCCAACAATACGTCCAACATCTCAGTGCCTTCATGATGCTCGTCTAGTTTCTCTTCATATTCCACAAGCATCTTCTCCAACACCTCGTCGTACCTGTGGGAAATATCCGCTAGGTCCTTTTTGAAAAGGGAGATCCCGAGCTTTGCCAGCGGCCTGTGCAAGATGGCCGACAAGAAAAAATTTCTAAACATAGCATCTGATTCAGTCACTAACCCCCTCACTTTCTCTGCTTCATCGTTCTCCTCTGAAAAACTCCTTCCCATGAGCATGTTGCAGATGGTGTTGTTAGTTAGCTTCATAGCCTCTTCACCAATCTCAACGCTCTCTTTCTTCATTGCCATGTCTACAAGGTTCAAGTAAAACCGATTTAGCTCATCTGCACGGACACCTCGTGACCTCTTGAGTGCCTGAGGTCCAAGGAGTTTGGTGGTCATGACCTTCTTCAT